TGAAGAAGGAAATACATTGTTTAACAAAGCCATGAATGGCTTGGTTGTTGGATGATAACACCTTTAAATCCACTAAGGAGGATTTCCAAAACAACCATAAACCACCTGCTCTTCCTAGAGAATGAACTCTGTGTTGTTTATCGTAACCAAGTCTCGACATGAAGGGGAGATCTGGTGAGTCAACCTTTGCCTTTGTTTCCAAAAAGCAAATAATATCTGGTTTCTGCATCTTAAGTAATTCTTTACATTCCCTCCTAAAGGGAGTATGCCTAACACCACGACTATTTCATGTCACAATCTTCATTTAATTAGACGGTGTTGTGAGAGTCGGCTGCATTGAGTCCGCAGCCTGGGGTGGATGAATTTTGACCATGATGGCTGAGTCAACTGAGGCAAGCACTGGTACGTGATTTTGGTCTGGAGCAAGTGCTAATGATAATGGGTAGTGTTGGGGATGTACTTCTATCATTGAAGAGGTAGATCTTGGCACTGGCACCTTGTTACTCCTAATTTCTGCCATTGTGGGCAATAGAGAGGAAGGTTCTTTCTGTTTGTTAATGCCTTGTGAGGGCTGGTAAGGCTTGGGAATGGTAGGTTTAGGATCTTTAGGGATTGGGCCCCCAGATTTTGCCTTTCTTCCTTTGGGTTGAGGCTTAACAAAATCCATTGATGGAGCAAGGGGAGGGCTTGGGATAGTAATCTCCATTGGCTTAACTTGTTCTGTGGACTCCTCAGTCTGAGGCGAGCTTCCCGCCAGCGAGGCTTCAGTCGCCATATTTGAATTTAGCAAATCTGTCTCTTCCCCCATTAGCTCTAACATCACTGCAAAACTATTGCTCTTTGATTCATGGGAACCAGAATTGGCAATAATCTTAGGGGCCAAGGATTGCGCCTGGTTTTTGGTAACGGGTTTATGTGGATCTTGAACTTTTGGGGAGATAGTAGGTTTGCCGGCTGATGGCTCGACTGAGCGGCGGGGCTGCTGTTGCCGTCGTGGCTTCCTTTGTTGAACCATCCATGAGCCAAAAGTCATATCATTTTCTTCCGGATTTGGCTTTAAAGTTTGAGTTAACTTGATCATAGCCTTTGAGCTGGGGTTGCCAACGAGAGAGGCCTTCTCAGGATTCTTAAAACGACAATAGTTCTCTGTGTGACCATATTCCCTACACTGGAAACAGATTTTATGTAGACCTTCAAATTCCACCGAAATGAGAGACTGAGGTAACTCCTCTAAGTCTAGGTCCACGGATGATGGGAGTGATTGGCTGAGGTCAACTTCAACGCAGACTCTTGCAAATTTTCCTCTAGCAGTAAGGAGGGTTGTAGGATCAACTTTGATCGGTTTACCAATTTTACTGCCCAGATAAAGACAAATAGCCTCATGAAAGCAAACTATTGGAACACCATATAATTTAACCCACACTACTGTCTTGGGGGCTTTTGCTCTGGCTGGATGAAAACCTGGTTCCCAAGGTTGAACGGCCAAATAATGATCAAACATTTTATATGGCCCTCCTGTTAAAACCATTGCACAATCCTGTGAGGAAGAAAATTTGACAATATAATAGCCCAAACCCACATCAATGACTTCGAATTCACTTTCTGTTCGCCATTCTTTCAATAATCGCGAGTGCAAATTGTGGAAGTTGACAGATTTCCCTAGGAGCTTGATAATTACTGCATTTTTCCAAGGGGCACAAAGTCGCTGCCAGATTGATTTAGGTATTCTAATCTTGGGGATCTTTGGCTTGGAAGGGTGTGACCCATCTTATGCCATAAGGGTTGAGGATTCTTGCTCCAGGTTTGCAACCACCAATTCTTCATATGTGACGAGGGGAGGCTCAATGGAAGCATTTCCATCCACCAATGTATCCCGGAAGGATTTTACCGCCGGCGTTGGGTTGGGGCTGGGTTGGGAGGGCACCACTATTGGTGTGGCTGGATCTGGTCCTGGTGAGGGCGAAATGATGGCTGGTATGTCGGGTGGTGGGGGAAAGGAGGGGGGGATTGGGTCTGCCGGAGGGGGTTCAGAGGAAGCTGGGGAAACGAGAGACATTTTCATTTAAAAAATCACTTTTTAATTTTTTTATTTAAAGATTAATTAGATAATGATGCTGATTTGACAAACAAATTCTCTAACTGAAATGTTAAAAATTAGTATTCTAGAATTAAAAATTTGAAAGTTAGTATCATTATTTAGAAATTGGTAAATTTAATATTTTTAACTAGAAAAAAAATGTAAAGTTGATATCTTTATTTATACTTTACTTTGTACTTTTTCTCATAAATCTCACACTAAGTGCATAAAAAAAAGGAAGAAAAGGAAAATGCTACTTCCTTCGTCTCAAAATAATAAATATTTTTAGTTTCAAATTTATCTAAAAATAATAGTTTTTTTTATATATTTTAAGAGAGAAATATTATTTTTTTCTAATTTAATTTTATCATTATATCTTAACTTTAATTATCCATATGTTTACGCCATAAATTACAAAATTTAAGATTATACCATGTGTCAATTTATTTAAGATAGAGTGCTCTGCCTCTAATCAAGAGTGAAATATATATATATATAAGAGTATGAAATTCGGCTCCCTTTGGAAGACGAACTGAAGAAGAAATCCGGGTCTAATTGGGAGGATTGAAGCAAACCCACTTC